CCCCCCACCCTGGCCCTTCCAGGGTGATCTTTCTACAAGACCATTCCGGGCCTATATTCTGCTGTCGGAAAGCACGCTATCATTTGCCTGCAGGATAGGAGACAGATGAGGTGGGAGGTCTTGGTCCCAACCTACTCCTCCAGCCCCAGGTCCACCTTCACCCTGCCTTGCATTTTCTGCTCCAATAACACTGAGTTGCTTCTGATTCCATCCTCAAGCCACGTGCTTCATGCCTCCCAGCTCTGCACACACGCTGCATCTTTGGCCCGCCGTGCCCTTCACCCTGGCACCTCCGCCCCTTTCTCCTGGCTTTACTCCAGTTTGTGCCTGTTGTTTCTTTCTTCGTTCACGAGGGTAAACGTGTCTGTGACGGACACCTGACTTCCCAACGGTCGATCTTCACGTGTCTGCTTCCTTATGACCATCGTGCCGCGCCACCGGCACCCTCATCATCTGGTTAAACTTTCGCCCCTTCCAGCTCCCTGGGGAAACCTCTGACCGCCCTCCACTCTGCTGCGCTGCCTCTCTCACTTGCCCACCGTGGCCACATGAGCTGAAACATGTGGTGCTCTTGCCTGTTGCCCGTCTAGACCAGAGCCTGCGTCTTCTTTATGTAGCATGGAGATCCTAGTGTCCAGCAGATCACAGGTGCTCCGCTGATGCTTGCCAAAGGAGACAGTGTTTTGGCTCTCTTGGCCTCCAAGTTCCTGAACCTGACAGGGTGAACAGGATGTGAGGGTGACCAGTGTGATCCCTTCCTGTCGGTTCCATTCCCTTGATAGCAGTGGGGGACCCCCCACCCCCACCCCCTTACCCGGCTCCCTGGTGGCCTCTTTCTGGACAGTGGGCTGGACAGCGCCTCCTGCTTCCAAGTGGTGTCCCTCATGAAGTCCCTAGCCCAGGGGGGCCGGACCATCATCTGCACCATCCACCAGCCCAGTGCCAAGCTCTTTGAGATGTTCGACAAGGTAAGCGCCCGAAGGCCTCAGAGGAGATGGGCCCGAGGGGCGGAGGGGACGGAGTTGAAGAAGGACTGGTGGGCGTGCCTCCCTGAGCCCACTCCCTCTGCCTCAGCTCTACATCCTGAGCCAGGGTCAGTGCATCTTCAAGGGCCGCGTCACCAACCTGGTGCCCTACCTGAAGGGGCAGGGCTTGCACTGCCCCACCTACCACAACCCGGCTGACTTTAGTGAGTGGGGACTTGGGCGAGGGCGGGGCTGCGGCAGCGGTGGGCCAAGCCGGGGTGGGGTGGGGTGCAGAGGCCTCCCTGTTACTTGCCTTCCCCACGCATCTGGGAAGTGAGGGTGGGCTTTCGCTGAGCACGCTCCTCTCGTGTCCCCAGTCATTGAGGTGGCCTCTGGCGAGTATGGAGACCTGAACCCCATGCTGTTCAGGGCTGTGCAGAATGGGCTCTGTGCCATGGCCGAGAAGAAGAGCGGCCCCGAGAAGAAGGATGTCCCCACGACCTGCCCTCCTACCTGCTCTCAGGTGCGTCGGAGCGGAGAGGGCAAAGTGAGGGAGCGGAGAAGGACACCCAGAAATTCAGGGCTATCAAGTCCATTCGATTCAGAGAGACCTTTTAGTCCAGAGTAGAACTACCCCTGTGGGTCTGTGAGGCTGCGAATCTCTACAGACGTGAAAAGCCTCGTCTTTCCTGCAGAGAGCAGCTGGTGGGTTCAAACTGTGGACCTTGCAGTTAGGCAAAGAAGTGGCTCCCAGAGGCCGTCTTCACCACTATGGAGTGGTGAGGAGCACCCCTTGGGATGTTGTCTCGGTGTTGGGGGGCCATCATTCAGACTCACAGGCATCCAACAGGAGAGGGTAGAACTGGGAGAAGCTAGACTCGAGGAAGAAGAATGAGGAATGAGGGTCAGCGAAAGGCTCCTCACAGCCTGCAGGGGAGAAACAGATGCAAAGGTTGCTCAGGGTCTTCATGTTGGTGGAAGCAGCAGCGAAGGAGTCAGAGACGTGTTGCACTGGGCGCATCTGTCGCACAGACCTCTTCTCTCAAGGGTTCAAAGGGCGGAGATGCCACGGTATGGCCACTTGTCTTCTGTGGGGACAAAGGCTAACAACAGATGTGGAAGATGAGAGAAGAGTTTGCGCATCTAAATGATGGTGTCGGCCAAGAATAATGGACGTGCCCTGGAAGGACAAACACATCTGGCTCGGAAGTAAAGCGAGAGCACTCCGTGGAAGCCCACGCGGACACAGGACCTAGAAAGATCAGTTCCTGGAAAAGGCCATCATGCTGGGGTCAGTGGAGGGCTGACAAGAAAAGAGGAGAGCCCTGATGGGATGGACGGACACAGCGCTGCCACCTTGGGCTCACGTCTGACCACAGTTGGGAGGGCAGCTGGACCTGGCAGTGTTTGTTCTGTTATCCGCAGGGCGGCCAACTCGACAGCACTTCCCAGCAACGGGGACACTGTCCACGGGGGAGCAAAGGACCGCGGCTTTCCCCCCGCTGAGTACCGGGGTGGGTTCCCAGGGGCCATCTCCTGATTAGTAGCTGAGCACTTAACCACTGTGCCGTCAGGACTTGGACTAACCCTCTTATTAACATCTGGGCTGTCTTGGGGAAGTCACTTCACCTGGTGAGCCTTCAAGTTCTTCATTCACTCAGCGGATTCTGATGGGCAGCGACAGTGTGCTCTGAATGCCAGCCCGGGGCCGCCTATCGAGTCAGCAAGCCAGACCTTCTCTCTGGTCTTGGGGGCAATGTCCTCTCCGCCAACCTGGAGAGGAGCATACTTAGCTCACAGGGTCCAGGAGGACGAGTGAGAGCCTCATGCCAAGCTCTTGGCACTGTCCTCGGTGCAGCAAGGGTTTGTTTGCTCAGTTCTAATCGTCCTCAGACGAGACACTGCACCCCTTGAGCACCGGGAGGGTCCAAGGTGGCTACTCTTGTTGCTGTTGTCATTATCAAATACTATTATTGTGAAACAGGAGGCGTGGTGACTTCAGGGTAAATCTTAGGGGATTAAAGGATAAAAGAGAAGTGTCGCCAGGGTTGCCCTTGCCTCCCTTTCCTCCTGACTCCACAGAGGTCTCTCTACTCTCACGCTGACTCCCACCCCCAAGTCCAGCTTCCAGGCCCACAGCTCCATTCTTCCACCCCTGCTCAGGGGTTTTCCCACTCACGGAACTGAATGGGCTGGGGGGTGGGGGATGCAAAGAGGCTCACCTGACCCAATGTCCTCTCTCCCAGGAAGTGGATCCCATTGAAAGCCACACTTTTGCTACCAGCACCCTCACACAGTTCTGCATCCTGTTCAGAAGGACCTTCTTGTCCATCCTCAGGGACACGGTGAGGCATCAAGTGCTGAGAGAGGAGGCCTGGTCTTGGGGGGCCTGGGGCTCGAGCAGCTGGGCTGGGACCAGGGCTCCTCTTCCACTGGTTATGGCATAGTCTGTGACTTCCTGCCCACCCCTGGCCTGCGGCTCATCCGCCACTCCCCACCCCAACCCTACCCTGGCACCCTCCTCCTGCAGGTCCTGACCCACCTGCGGTTCATATCCCACGTGGTGATCGGGGTGCTCATCGGCCTCCTCTACCTGCACATCGGCGATGACGCCAGCAAAGTCTTCAACAACACCGGCTGCCTCTTCTTCTCCATGCTCTTCCTGATGTTCGCCGCCCTCATGCCCACCGTGCTCACCTGTGAGCGGCTGCCCGCCCGGGCATGGGGCGCGGGGCGGGGCCAAGGAGTTAGGCAGCCCGGCCTAAGTCTGTCTGCCTCCTCAGTTCCCCTAGAGATGGCAGTCTTCTTGAGAGAGCACCTCAACTATTGGTACAGCCTCAAAGCCTACTACCTGGCCAAGACCATGGCCGATGTGCCCTTTCAGGTGAGCCTCCTTGCTCCATCTACCCACTGCTTCCAGCCGGTCTTACTCTCCCTCCCCTCGCTTTGCTCCCTCCACGCTGTCATCTTCCACCCGTCCCTTCACTTCCACTTCCGTAGTAAATCCCACGGTGGTGGGTGCCTACCGTGCCCCCAGCCCTGCGCCAGGCACTGAGGATAAAGCAATGAGCCAGAGCGACGTAGTCTTGACTTGTAGAACTTATGTTCCAGCGGAAACAGTAACCCCACATATGACTGTGTTCAGACGTGTCGCTTCTTCTTCGGTCTTCCTTAAATCGATGCATTTGCACGGTGGTGCTGGAGAAGAGTATTGAGTGCCGGCCTGCTAAAGGACACACCCACTCGTTGTGGAAGTGTTCCTGAGAGGCAAGGGTGGGGAGACTTCGTCTTAGAGGCTCTGCACGTGTAGTCAGCAGAGACAGTCCCTGGAGAAGCTCAGGCGTGTGAACAGTCTGAGGCTGCCTAAGGACGGAGCAATGTCTCCACTGCTGGGCATGGGTTGGACCCGACGGGACACCTAACTGCACAGACTCTGTAAACCTTATGAAGGCAGTGATAGTATAGGCTCTGGCACCTTATTGCTATGTGTGGGTTGTAAGACCTGGGACAAGCCACCTCTCCTCTCTTTGCTTCAGCGCCCCCATCTGTAAAATAGGACGCAGTGCCTGCTGCAGGGTTGTCGGCAAGAATTAATGACACCCATACATAGCCAGGACTTAGAATACTGCTTGGCACCTACGAGCTAAAACTCAATTGCTGTCAAGTTGATTGCCTCATAAGGGCCCTGTGTGCACCAGGGTAAAACTGGGCTCCACAGGGTTCCCAGGGGATGAATTTTCAGAAGTAGATTGGCAGTCCTTTCTTCCACGGCACCTTGAAATGGATTTGAACTTCTGCAGTGTGCACTTAACCATTCGTACCACCAAGGGACTCCTGTAGAGATGAAGTGCCTGATGATTATTAGCTGGCTTTGTCTTCAACGCTTGTATCCTTTTGGTGAGAGTACGCACAGCAAAGCCGGGTCCCACGATGCTCCATTTCTGCCCACGATGCTGAAAGGCCCTGGTTCCATGCTTCAGCTTGTCAGTGTGCTCGTGATTTTTCTCCCCGTGTTCTGTGAGCGGAGCTCTGCGCTCCCAAGCCTTCTCCGTAGAGTAACTGTCGTCGAGTGTAAAGGAGAACAGTCCTCAAGGGTGCCCTTCGTTCATTTGTGAGCTAAGCTGCTAGTTAGTTAAAAGGTAATGTCGGGGGTAGTTTTGGTTCAGTGTAAAGAATATCTTAGGGCAGTGATTTCAATCTTCCTCATGCTGCGACCCTTTCATACAGTTCCTCATGTTGCGGTGACCCCCAACCATAACATTATTTTCCTTGCTACATCATCACTGTCATTTTGCTACTGTTATGAATTGGGTGACCGCTGGGAAAGGGTCGTTCAACCCCCAAAGGGGTCACGACCCACAGGTTAAGAACCGCTGTCTTAGGGTAATGGTCTCAGAGGCCAGTAAGTGCAGAGTCTTTGAGAATTTGAAGCTACGTCCCACATGGTTGTCCTTTTCCTGTTAGAAGACCTCGATCGTGACCCCGGTCCGAAGGACCAACAGTGGTAGCAGAGCACCATCAAGTCCTCTGACCTCAGGGTGCAGGAGGCTATGACGCGCGAAGATAGTCAGCCTCGCCATCTCCTTCCTTGTCGAATTCTCTTTTTAAGATCCCGATGACTAGAGGCCAAGAGTTCTATCTTTGAACATTACCTATTTTGTGCTATTACCCCCACTACCTATTCTAACACCAGGGCTATCCCTAGTCCACAGGGTCCGTTTGTGCAAATGAGAGCAAGGTGCTCCTTCCTCAGGGTGGCTGCTGCATGGGCCAGCGTGTGGCTTTGTGAACCCGGCACAGACAGGCTCTCTTTTGCTTGGGTAACAGCTCATAGAGCCGTGTGTTTGGGACTCAGTGAGTCTCTGTCACCGACACAGGTAGAGTTAATCAACAGTATCAAGAGTCGGGAATAGAAGGAAAGGAACTTGGAGGGAGGGGATGAACTGGCTGGAGTGGGCCTAGAGGGACAGGTGAGACTGGGAGATGACGGAGGTTCGTATAGCGGGAAGGGAGGGGACGTGTGCCAGTCCAGGTTCACTCCAGAGTCTGTGGTCTAGAGGTTCTTGTTGGGTGGGTAGGGTGAAGGATCTACGTCCCTGGGCCCTTGTCTAGGTCTGACCCTGACCAGGACACAGCCAACCCTGTGCCTGCTTTCCAGGTGCTGTGCCCCCTGGTGTACTGCAGCATCGTGTACTGGATGACAGGCCAGCCAGCCGAGACCAGCCGCTTCCTGCTCTTCTCAGCCCTGGCCACCGCCACGGCCTTGGTGGCTCAGTCTCTGGGGCTGCTGATTGGCGTGGCCTCTAATTCCCTGCAGGTGGGAGGGGCCCCAAGAGAGGAGGGGGTCTCATGGTAGGAAGCCGGGGCTGGCCACCAGAAGAGGCGGGGCCCTGTGGGGGAAACCCTGGCCCCAGCCCCGTCCTGGGCCTGGCCTGGCCTGGCCAACCTGGTGACTGTCGGACCTCTCCACTCCCCGCCAGGTGGCCACCTTTGTGGGCCCAGTTACAGCCATCCCGGTTCTCTTGTTCTCTGGCTTCTTTGTCACCTTCAAGACCATTCCCACGTACCTACAATGGAGCTCCTACCTCTCCTATGTCAGGTCGGTGCCCTTCCTTCCCCAGCAGACCAGGGCCAGGGCAAGTGCCCTGTGCCAAGTCTGGTCCTGCCCTACCAGGGCACCCTGGCCAGACATCAGGAACAGAAGCCTTGTAGCTGGCCTCTGACCAATGTGCCCTGAAGGGGTCCCTTGTGGCCTGTCTCCTGCTCTGATGTCCCTGCCTTCCCAGGTACGGCTTTGAGGGGGTGATCCTGACTGTCTATGGCATGGAGCGGGGGAACCTGACATGCTCAGAGGAACGCTGCCCACTCCGGGAACCGCAGAACATCCTCCGAGCGCTCGATGTGGAAGATGCCAAGCTCTACATGGACTTCGTGGTCTTGGGCATCTTCTTCCTGGCCCTGCGGCTGCTGGCATACCTGGTGCTCCGCTACCGGGTCAAGTCCGAAAGATAGAGCCTCGTGCCTGGCCTGTACCCCAGCCCCAGCCTTTGGGGCTGTTTTAACCTTGTAGACTTGGGCAAGGCTGCTGGTGCAGCCGCCCACCCTCCCTGGCCTCTCCTCCAACTGGCTAACAGACTACACCCCCAGCCCTGGCCCGGAGTCAGGCCCTCAGCCTCTCTTACCACGCCTGGGGGTTCCCCCAAGTCTTTGCTCTGGATTTATAGCTTCCTCTCCCTTCTCTCTGACACCTGCATGCAAAAGGAGGCTGCCTCCCTGTTTCCTGCCCTTGGCAACCTCCTCTTTGTCTGCCTGGCAGCTCCAGGCCCCACTTACAATTGACCAAAGTGGTCCCTTCTGGGGCCTGCACCCCACCAGTGTTTGTGAACAGGCTGCTGAGGCCGGGGGGCCAGGGCTGGGCCCTGGTGAAGTCTCGGGGAGTCCCATTAGGACACGGGAATCAATCAAGCAGGGAAGGACTCTGGCAGTCTCTTCCTCCCACCTCCTTGTCCCCAGGCCCAGACCCTGGGACAGAAGCTGGATTTTCTGTCTTAGTACCCCCTCTCAGCCTTGGGGATCGGGCAGGTCTGGGGCCCAGGGCTGCCCCGGCCCCCCGCTCACCATCACCTTTGGTGGGTGGGAGGGCCTGCTGGCCCCGCTGCAATAATGTCTGTCTGTCTTTCCCACCCGTCACTGGAACTGGCGAATGCACTTTATTCTGAGGGGAGGCTGAGTGGGGAGAACCCCCTCCCTCCTCGCTGATCTGGAAGCAATGTCTTGCAACGCCCCTTCCTTCTGCAGGGTGACAGGCACAAACCTGCTAACAGGCAGTCTCAACCCCATACCATCACCACGGGGATGGTGGTGGGAGAGTGGGGTTCCCGTGGGGAAGACAGTGCCAGCCTCTTCCTGGGAGGGGGGCTCACTTGGGAGGCTGGAGGCGAAGATGGTGCTGCCCAGGATGTCTCCAGTATCTGCAGGTGCCTGCTTTCTGCTCTTCCCCCACCCCCACCCCCTCAAGCCAGGGGTGGCCCAGGGCACTAGCTCCCGGAGCTCAGGGCCCAATACAAGCACAGGCACAGGTAAAATTGGCCGAGGCCACCGCCACCCCTAGGCCCTCCTCTTGCGTGCCAGGTTGGCATCCTCACTCCCTCTTTTCCCCAGCCTCTTTGCTGCTCCTTACAACTCCCTCCCCCCTCTCCACCCTCCGCAGCCAAGGTAAGGGGGCCCAGAGCAGGGGAGCAGCACGCTTTCTCCACCAAGGTGGCAGACACACCGGTGCATGTCTGTCTGTCCTGGTGGAGTCCAGGCTCATTCAACTGCTGATTTTCCCTCCTCCCAGGGCTATTCCTATACATGGACCCACCCCAGACTCTTTCCTCCAACAGATGCCTGTTGTATTTGTGGGATTTTGCCCATTGTTAATAAAACCTTTATTTATACAGTATGCAGTGTGTTACTACCTGTGGGTCTCACCGGGTGTCAGGAGCTGGGAGGGGGTCTTCAGAGACCTTCGGAAGATGTCTGTCAACTTTCACCAAGCAGCGGCCAGGGATGGATGGCCTATCCTGGAAGCACACAGAGCTAGTGAATGGGAATCTTTTGAATTATGCGTATCACACTTTGCATCTTATGTCAAGGGGGTAACTTGACAACCCTACACCATCCCTCATGACAACCCATTTTTCCCCTGGGAGAACAGACGCGGTTAAAGACTTGCCCACGGACCTTCAGCGAGCTGAGCAACAATCGGCCTGGGAAGCAGGTCTTCTGCATCATCTTCGCATGGGCTCGTGTCCAGGAGGGCTCGGAGCGCTCCATCTGGGTATGTATGCTGGGTGTGTGGCAGGAGTGTGCTCACGCCCGAGTGATATGTGACTCCCTCTTAAAAATAAATAGTCTATTGATACACAATTCACATGCCATATACTTCCGTAGTTAAATAGCTTTTAAAAAGAGTTGTGTATGTATCATCACAATCAGTTCTAATGCTCCCTCCCCTTCCCACATTCATTATTTGCTTTCCAATTCCCCTCATCCCACCCCACCCCCGTCCCCAATAAACCAGTTATCGTTCTGTGCATCCGCTCCTCCTGTGCTTCATAAACTGGGAAATCTAACAGAAACAAAACAAACACAAAACAAAATAGGGGGAAATAGTGGCGTGGAGATAAAAGTAAAACTGACGAGTACGGAAGAAAGACCACCAGCAACATTAAGGAGCCAGAGAAGAACCTTCTGTTGTGGAACAAGGGAGAATTATGTAAGCTCAGAGCAAATTCAGGTTGGGTCGAGAGGGAGGTCAACTGACCAAGTGTCATATTCTCCTGTGGTTAGAACCACCATAACTGGGTTTACAGTAATCTCCGTCTGACAGTAAAGCTGTTCAAGGCCCTTGCCTGTGGCCAGAGGGAATCTGCCAGAGTCTTAATCCGTCCAGACAGTCTGCAGATGGATTTTGGCCTTCCACTGTCCTCCATAGCCTTCTACAAATTGGGTGTTGACAATTTAAGTTCTGGAAATCTTTTCTTCAACGTAATTGGTTATTGTCACCCTTGGATCACACAGGCTGGTGTGCTTCCTCCATGTGGACTTAGTTGACATCTCACTTAGGTGGCTCCTTGTTTGAGTACAAGCCTTAAGGAGCCCAGACACTATTCTGATTGATAGCCGGGCACCATCTGCTTTCTTCGCCAGACTTTGCTGTAGCACCCTTCTCTTCAGTGATCTCTTCATGAGGGCGAGAGTCGAGCAGGACCCTGTTATAAGATTGAACTGTTCTTGGATTGGGGCTAGAATTACCTGGGAGCCCAGAACCCAGCTGCTTGTCCTAGGTTATGAATAACTCTGGTTTACTTTATTATTTTATGGGGAAAAAACCCCAAGATAAACAACAACAAAAACAAAACAACAAAATTAAAAAGAAACAACAATCCCCCAAGCAAAAAAGACAAACATTGTCAACCATCCCTCTGGAATATAAGGCAATTGCATTGAAAACATCAATAATTTACGCAATGGCATAACATTTAAGGAGCTTGTGCGAGCACAGTCTGGCTGCGAACAGCAATTCATGTTTCATGCAGATTGATTTCTTAAATGATTGAGCTCTGTTTATACTGGGCATGGGGTCAGTGCCAGGGGAACTTTTCCTATGTCATTACTTACAAGTGCAGATTCTTACCTATCTGATTAAAACCTTTCGACTGTCGACTGTCGATGCTCCCCTTCCCTGGCCTCGACTCGGTTCTCCTCTTGTTCATTTGTACCTGACTCCCTCTTAAGGACTGATTCATTGGGTATGCCCATGGGATTGTGGGGGGTGGTGTGGGTGTTACTGGTTGTAGAGGGCAGTGTAAGGGAGTGGTTGGGGCCTCATTGAGCTCACTCCAGTTTTCCTCTTCTTTCCCTTCTGGTCCCATTAATCAGGGCTGAGCCGTCAGCCCCTAGGACTAAAATACAAAGGTGATCCAAGGTATGGCAGGTATGTCATGTACCGTGGAGGCCACTTGAAGTGGGTGCCACTGAGCAGTTTCCATCAGTGGCTATTGAGCGACCCTTGGAAGACTAATCCTTTTGCAGTGGAGAGCCTCCGGGAGTCAAGACAGACTGTGGGATCTTGCTCTACCGAGTAGTGAGAGAAGAAACTGAGCAAGACATAACGTGAGCTCATCAGAGAGCAAGTCTCATCCGTGAAAGCAAGGGGGATGTGGTTTTCATTTCCATGTAGAGCCATTCTGTGTTAAAAGATTGATAAGCTTGATTTATATTTTGTTAGGGCAAAGTTATCTAAAAGATGGGCATCGCATACATTTTGCCAGGGGTGAAGCTTAAAAAACTCAGAAACTAACTGATGGAGCCAAGATCGACTCATAGCGACCCCTGTGGGTTTCCGAGCCTGTCACTGTTTACAGGAGTAGAAAGCCCAGTCTTTCTCCCCAGGAGCTGCTGGTGGTTTCCAACTGCCGACCATGAGGATTGCAGCCCACCGCGCAACCACTACAAATGACTACTGCTGCTTGCAATGGGCCCTATTTTCCGTAGATGGGTCTGGGGGTTGGGGATGGGAGGGCGGAGGTTTTGAACAGGCAAGTGTTCAGAGGTGCTTGGGAGCTGGTGGCAGAATGACTCGAGATGTGCACCTTGTCACACATTCTTCCCTTCCAGGCCTGCAGCTTGGGGGCTTCAGGAAGGTCCTGGCCTCCCCCCTGCCAGGAGTGTACTGAGCTGCTGTCAATCTTGCCTGGAACACTGCTGAGCTGAGTGCCTTCTAGTGATGAGGTTCCCATCTATGACCTGCTGGATACTTGCCTGGAATGGACCAACTTTGCTCCTTATGGAGAGAGGGCTCTGTGGGAGGTGGGAAGAAGCCCCAGCTCTGGGTTCTGAAATTCTAGTTCCTGTTAGGGGACATTCTGGGGGCCACCTTCACTCTGGGGTGCTGCCAGTGAATAGCTCCTCCTAAATCCAAGAACATGGAACCCATGATTCCACCATTTCTCTGAAGATACACCCAGTTTCATCTTTCCCTTTTAAAATGAAGATATTCCTGAACGGGTGATTTATTGTCAATTTTTGAGGGTAAGTAAAGAAAAGTATTGCTACAAAATTCATAGAAACCTTTATTTAACAAAAACAGCAGGTACAAAACTATTGTCTCCTAACATACCCTTCATCTGGGTCTGTACACGTTTGAAGAACACGTTTCTCTCCGTACAATCCTTCCCCAAAGAGTGGTGTGTTCTCCAGCTGGCACCATGTCACAACAGCACTGCGGGCGTCCTTCCAGTCTCAGACCAGGCTCCTTTGAAGTGCTGTTTGTGTTTGGGGAAGTGGACGGAGTCTGAAGGGGTAAGAGCAGGGTTGCATGGTGAGGGGAAGGCCAGCCAATGACATTTCCAGAGAACCCTTGCTACCCTAGAGAAACGAGCAGGGCCTTATCGCGAC